TTTTTTTAAATTTTGTGTGTATGCATGTATTGCCTGCATGTAGGTAAGTGTACCCATGTCGTGCAATGCCTGCAGAGGTCAGAAGAGGCTGTTGGATCCCCTGGGACTGGAGTTAAGGACAGTTGTTAACTGCCATGTGGGTGCTGGGATTCAAACCCAGGTTCTCAGCAAGAGCAGCCACTGCTCTTAACTGTTGAGCCATCTCTCCGGCCTCAGGACCTTGTTTTTTACAGATACAGAATACAAAGCTTAGAGTCTTTGTAACTTGCTCATGTTAACACAGTAAGCTGGTAGTTCAACCAGTGTTGTTAACCGCTGAGCCATCTCTCCAGCCCCGGGTGTTCAGGTTTTACAGCTACAGAACTGGGCCAGGACAGCTGCCAGGCCCTCCTCCGGTCCTTCCCACGTCTGCTATGTCATACAGATGATGGGCAGTGGGCCCCAGTTTCAAGTCTTCCACGGCAGATAGATATATTGATTGGAGCGCAGCTCTTGGGGAGGCTGACATAGATTATGTTTGTGCACCGGGTGGAAGGGATTTCTCTAACTTTAATTATAGTTTAGGAGTCAAATCTGCCCTTTCTGCTGGTGTCACGCCTCTTAGTAATTACTTCCCGGCACTCTCTCAGCCGCCCTTACGAGGCCTCCTGCATGCTGTGAACAATTAATTTGTAGGCTGGTAATTGGTTAAAACAATATTTAAAGTAATTGGCTCAATGTCCCTTTTAAGGAGGGGCTTGAAGGTGTGACTCTGAGAAGATCCATTTCACAGCTGGTGCGCCGCCCCAAGCCCCTGGATGCTTATTGCCAGACGTGCTGGGCTTCTAGCGGGCCTGGGGTAGCAGTGACACCAGGTAGCACACTGGCCCTGTGGGAGGTAGAGGCAAGCTCATGGGTTTCTTCCTGTGTTAAGGCAGGACTGACCAGGACACTCAGAGGCTGAGGGGCCAGAGGCTGTATTTGCTGAGACAGCTTGCTGTTGCCTTGAGTCTGAGGCTAGTCAGGTGCAGTAGGCAGAATCCAGGAGGGCAGGTGTGGAGGGTGAAGGTGCCTGTGTGTGTGTGTGTGTGTGTGTGTGTGTGTGTGTGTGTGTGTGACAGCATGTGAGTGGAGTTTAGAGGACAGCCTGTGAGAGTTGATGCTCTCTTTATACCATGTGGGTCCAAGAGATCAAACTCAGCGCATCAGGCTCAGCTTTTACCTGCTGAGCCATCTTGCTGGCCCCCCACTTTGTTTTCTTAGACAGAGTCTCTCATTGGCCTAGAGCTTGCAGATTAGGCTGGGCTGGCTGACCAGTGAGCCTCAAGGAACTCCCTGTCTCTCTCTGCCTTCCAACACTGGGATTCCAGGTGCGTCACACCACACTTTATTTTATTTTATTTTTATTTTTTGTGTATGAGTGTTTTGCCTGCACGTATGTAAGTGCACCCATGTTGTGCAATGCCCAAAGAGGTCAAAAGAATTGCGTTGGATTCCCCTGGAACGGGAATTACTGACGGTTGTTAGCTACCATGTGGGTGCTGAGAACTGAGCGTGGATCCTCTGTAAGAGCAGCCAGTGCTCTTAACTGCTGAGCCATCTCTCCAGCCTCACCCTCGGCTTTTTAAAAATGCAGATTGTGGAGATCGAATTTAGGCCCTCAGAACTTTACTGGCTGAGGCTGAGCTATTGCACAGAAACCACAGAGACCAGGGTGGGGCTGTACTAAGCCTGAGCTTCCAGAGGAAGGGTGAGGACACAGGGACCTGGGAGGGGAAGGGAGGGGGGTCTGGGTATTGGAGGGGTAGCAGAGGTCTGAGAGCCAGAGTGAGTCCTGTCTTGCAGGGCCTGGCAGCCTTAATAAGAGCTCTGGGGAAGCGTCTATGGAAAGTAGTAACTGAGAACCTGCCCAGAGCCTGACACGCGCTCAGAGGTTTGTTTCGAAGGGCCCATTCCACTGGGCCACCACGGTCCACACGCTTCCCTTGCGTGAGTTTGGCAGCCCCCACCCTGAGTTTCAGGCAGCGTCTAGAAGGGCTGTGTCCATGCGTCTTCTACGGAGAGCCTGATAAAAGGGCCTAGACTGAAAATCAATTTCCTAAAGCTGAAATCAATAGCAATAACTAATATTAATACTGATGACCCTGCTGCAACACTGTATGTGGCCGGGCAGGAATTGTTTCTAGGACAGGCAGGGCCGGCCGGCAGTGTGGCAGGGCCTAGGTACCAGAAGCTTCAGTGGGCTGCACACTTAGGTTCAGAGGCCTGTGCAGCCCTCCCCTCCTACGTGAAGCAGCTTTTTTCCTTTTTCTTCCCAAGGTTGGGTTTTCTCTCTGGGTCCCTAGATGAAGGGGCTCGTTCCCTACATGGGTGCCAGAGTCCTGACATGAGCCATAAGCCCCGGGCTTGCGACCTCAGTTCCTTAAGAGCAGGCACTGGGGTGGGCGTTTGTGATGCCCTCGGGCCTGCAAGATCCAGTGTTGGGTTTGGCCAGTGGGGAATGTGGGCAGCCACAGAGGACAGGAACAGGGAGCAGGGCAAGGGAGGACAAGCCCACAGGAAGTGGGCATTCAGTTCCGCTCAGCACCTTGGGTCTGGCCTGGCCTCTGTAGGGCCCTCTCTGCTGGGGATGACCTGGGTTTTTGTTAGTGTCTGTGGAGCTAGGAGCCCGGAGGTAGAAAGAGAGGACACTCAGAGGTCAGACTCCTCCAGGGACTCTCCCCTCCAGCAGGAGTAATCGCTAACTCCCATTTTCCAGGTGTACACTGGGGGCTTGGCAGGGCTTTCCCCAAGCCAGATATAAAGTCAGAAGGAATCCTGAAGGTGTCTGTCTGTCTTCCACACCCTTGCATCACCAAGAGATGCAGTGTGCACTCCAGTCCAGGCAGCAGACCCCCGAGGGTGGGAAGGAAACCACCAGTGGACTATTTACAAGGTCTGCAGGAGGGCACTGTGTTTGCCCAGTGAGCATTTTAAGAACATATTGGAGGACTGGGTGGGAGTGCAGCTAAATAGTAGGGTTCTTGCCTAGCATGCTTGAGGTTCTGAGTTTGATATCTCTAACAGAGAGAGAGAGAGAGAGAGAGAGAGAGAGAGAGAGAGAGAGAGAGAGAGAGACCTATGCAGACCAGGCTGGCCTCAAACTCAGAGTTCTGCCTGCTTCTGCCTCCCAAGTGTTGGGATTAAAGGTGTGCACCACCACACCCAGCTTTTCAGTTGGAAACTATTATATGATGTCACATATGTGGACACAAAATTAGACACTTTCTGGATACATTTTGGCAATCTGAAAAGTAAACATCAAAACAAAGTGGAAACCTGGAAATAAGAGAGTAAGTCAAGGACTGCTGTGTAGATGGGAAGGGGTGGCGGGATATAGAGATGGATCACCTCAGGAGGCGGAGGGAATGCTTGTCATTGGTCACTGTCTTAAATGCTAAGGTCCAGGCAGGGAAGTCGAGGCAGCAGGAGCTTGACGCACTGCTCACACCCCACCCACAGTCAGGAAGCAGAGAGAGGAGAACGTTGCTGCTCCTGCTGCTCGGCTCCCTTCTCCACGTACAGAGCCCAGGATCCCAGCCAGGGGATGGCGCCACCCACAGCGCTGACAGGTTTTTCCCACCTCAATGAATGCAATCAAGAAAATCCCCCACAGGCAAGCCCAGGGGCTCATCTCCCTGCTGAGTCTAGATCCTCAAGTTGACAAGTCAAGTTGACACTGATGGTCAGTTAGCACTGACAGCACTGATTATCACAGTCACTTAAGAAAGGACAGAGCAATGGAGTTAAAAGGAAGGGTTCAGGATTCCCAAGAGGATCACTTTTTCTGGTCTAGAAGTCCAGAGTTGATTTATTAGATATTAAAAAAGACAGGACGGGGGGATGAGAGACGGCTTAGTGGTTAAGAACACTTATTCTTCCAGAGGTCCTTGGTTTGGTTCCCAGCACTCACATGGCAGCTAATAACCATCTGTAATTCCAGTTGTAGGAGAGCCAAATTTTTCTTCTGGCTTCTGTGGGCATTGTGTACACATGGTGCACTTACATACACACAGGCTAACATTCATACACATAAAATAAAAGTAATAAATACAATATAAAGGTGTACGCCTTTAATCCCAGCACTTAGGAGGCAGAGGCAGGCAGGTCTCTGTGAGTTTGAGGCCAGCCTGGTCTATGTGCAATGAGTTCCAGGCCCTGAGAGGGATGTCTCCTTCCCAGACGCTCACCTGAACCTCAGCCTGGCGTTATAAGGCAGTTGGCAGAGCACAGAGTTGGCTGAGCAGAACTTGTACCTTTAGTCAGAGTTACATAGTAAGATCCTGTCTAGAAAACCCCAAATAAATAAGTAAGCAAACAAATAAAAATAAATAAATAAAGTAAAAAGAAGAGAGTCTGTCCCTGAGAGGGATGTCTCCTTCCCAGACGCTCACCTGAACCTCAGCCTGGCATTATAAGGCAGTTGGCAGAGCACAGAGTTGGCTGAGCAGAACTTGTACCTTTCTGACAGCAGATTCTGGGTGAATTTCACTCACAAACAGGCTCTCTGGGGTGGGATTGGGTCACCTTACTCTCCACTCTATTCTAGGCCAGCCTAGCGACCAAGGCACCAGATGCAGTATCTGCCACTGTTTTGTGAATTCGTGCAACTGAGGACATGGATCATTCCCTTTGATCCTCTCGAGGGGTGATCCTCATGGGGGTGAGGGCAGGGACCGCAGCCCCACTGGGGTACTACAGGGTGGGGACTTGGGATGAACACGAGCTGGGCTGGAGCCTCAGGCAGGTTCCTGGCCAAGGTTAGAAGATAGGTCTCCTGCAAGGGGAGTGGGATGGTGCCATGCAGGGCACAGCAGCTAAGTGACTGTGCCCAGCTGACTTGGCACATGGGTTGCAGGCATGGGACGATAGCTCTGTTCCCTCTGTAAACACTGTCTGGCAGATTGGACTCAGGCTGTTTTGTGAGCCAGCCTCTCCATCTCATATACTGTGGCTCACACTGGCCCAGGTTCCATCTCAAGTAAGTTAAGAGTGGAAAGGACTGTTGACTGTTGCTTTGGCTGCCAGAGAGGAAGAGAGGGGTTTCACCCTTTGAGTTTGCTCTCATACCCTTGCTACAAGCCACATCCACATCCTTTGAGTAAGTCATTTGTGAGCCCTGGCACTCATGACCTTGGCAATCAGAGAGACAGTCCTGAGCCTCAGTGTTCTCAGAGGATTCTGGAGGACCTGGTGGGAAGAAAATATACAGCTGTGGCTCTGAACCCCACACAGCTTGTGCTCTGAGCTGTGGGTGAGGTGGGTGGGCAGGGTGTCCAAGTCTACCTGCTTCCCAGACGGCAGGGTTAATAGGCTAGTGTGAGCCATAGAATGCGAGGTGGGGAGGCTGGCCCCCACCTCAGCAGGACACCCCACTTCCCAGGTCCTTATCTCTCAGATCCTCCTGAATATATCCAGTGGATAGAAGGCTTGAGACTTGGCCCTGGCTCTGTTTCTAACAGGTACCATGAGGTGCCATGTGATTCCACCTGACAGTGGCCCTATCTCTGGGTCTCAGTGTTACAACTGTGGGTGGGTGCTGGTGGCCGTGATCTCTGGGGATAGGCAGGAGGGCGATGCAGCTTCTTCAAGGCCTGGCCCCCACTTCGACCCTGGTTATAGTTAGCTCAGTTCAGTGCTTGCCGTAGACCTACTCTGGGCTGAGCCCCACCTGGCTTCAGGTGGTCTCCTGCCTGTGGCTTCTTGGCTAGCCACCTGCTGAGGCCCTGTTTGCCCTGCTGTCCATCCACCTGACCTGGGTAAACAGACTGAGGACAGGACAGGTGGAGGGAGAGGAGATAAGGCCTGGCTGATGGAGGCCGGAGGTGAAGGGGCTCTCTCACCTCATTTGCCCTATGGGTTTATTTACTGTCCCCAGATGTTCACCTGTCTCCCCCATCACGCCTAGGTATCAACCACCAGGGTGGTCAGAGGCCTGACACCTGGTTCCTGGGACTCTGTGGGCTCAAGGGAGCCAGGTTGCCCACGATGGATACAATTTAGCAGAGTCCAGGCTCCTGGAGAGCCTTGTTGGTCTCTGGGTCTAAAAAGAGTTTGGTAGCTGGCAGTGTCCAGCAGCAAGGTGACACTGGGGACAACCCTCAGGGCAGAGCTTGCTCTGAACGGACTGAGGGTAAGTTGGAGGGACTCACCCAGCCCTTTGCAGAGCCCATGGTGTGTGGAGGACAGAGGAGGAAGGTGCCTGCTGTTGTGGGCCACCATCACACAGAGGCTATAAAACTGAAATACTACCCACACTGGTGGCCTGGCCTGGGCTCAGCATCTAGTCTCAAACCAAGTCTATCTGAACATCCCACCCATTCAGTTCATCCCACCACTGCCCTCATTTGCAGATGCACAGCTGGAGACTCAGCGGAGCAGGGAGCAGTCCGCCCGCTTCTCTTCTTCCTGAGATGCTTCCAGAGGGAATTCTGACCCAGTGGGGTTTGGAGTCTTCCCCTGAGTGAGTGCTGACAGCTACTGCCAGGATCCATGAACGTCCAGAAGAAGCATTAGAGACGCTTTGTCTCAAGCCGCCTCTCCGAGGTTCGTGATACCCCAAGGCATGCCCTTGTACTGTTAACTTTCTGTAGATCTTTGGCCACAGATGAGGCCAGCTAGAGATGCTGCAGAGTTAATGCCCTGTGAATGACTCTCAGTGGAGGGCAGTGGGCGGGGGACCCCTGGGACCCCCAGGTGTGTCATCCCTTCGGCAGCAGACATGCATCTTGGGAAGCACCCATTGTCTCCCTTCCTCCCTTCTCCCTACGTCAGCAACGTGTTCCTGGTGTTGCCGCTTGAACCTGAACCTTTTACTACTAGCTAAGACAGCTAACCACTGCATCCCCTGAGGACCCCCTCCTCCCACCAGTGCATCTCCTGAGACCCCTCACGGTATCTCCTGAGACTCCCTCTGCATAATCTGGTTCCCAGCTCTGGTTTGAGGAATTCAAGACCCTTGTGGCCAGGGGGAGGTGGCTTTTGGCTAATGCCTGGTGGACCCAGATTGGCTCCTCTGAACCATCTTACTTGTGCAGTGTTAATGTTGTGTCATTAGCAGTTGGAAAACCCACAGGAGGTTAAACATTAAGCAGTGAGTGCTGGGAAATGTGCTCATGTGTGCCAGAGCGGATGGTCAAGGCTGTGGCCCTTGGCCTTGGCTAAGACTTCTCTAACACACAGGCTCTCTAAACGACTGTCACGGAAGGCTGAGGAACCAGGAACTCCAATGGGCCCAGGAACCTGCCAGTCCCTCAAAGAAACTCTCAAGGGACATGTGGTTGGACAGGGTTGGGTGGGATTTTCCAAAACGCCCTTGGGGTCCTTGGGCTGGCTGAGTAGAAAGCTTCTTCCCCCAAGAAGGTATAGCTCAGCCTCACCCGGGTTTAGGGGCCCAGTGGGTCCAGGGACAGCATGAGGCCATCTTTACCAAGACCCAGAAGTTATCCACAGGCAGGAACCAGGCTTCACACACAGATCTGTGAAGACAAGGGAGACAGCTCCCGGGCCCAGGAGGACCTTGGAGGCAGGTCTAGGAAGACTCTCTGGTCATCCCATGTTCTGCCCAAAACATGTGTTCTAGGGTTCCCTGTTCCCCACTGTGGCCCAGATTAACACCGGCCGCCTGCCATGTCTTCATCTAAGTGCTGGGATGTTGGAGCCTCCTGAGCAGGCTGTTGTGGGTCTGGTGACTGCATGGTGGAGCGTGTGACTGTGAGAGATGAATGGAACTTTCCATCTATGCATGACAACAGGACGAACCAGGTTAATGTCGCTTCCTACAGTGCGGCAACATCACTGGTTTCCTGCTGTTTGAGGCTGTGCAGTCAAGATTGGTTAGTGCCAGGGTCCTGGTGTCACCCAATCTCAGTCAATATGAGTGACAGTCCAGGGAACTTTGAGGCATGCTGGTCCTGGGACCAACCATGGTAATGGAGAGTGGCCAGAGACCTTGGCTAGCCTCTTGGTGACTCTTTACCCTTCCTATAGCAAAAGGACAGAGTTTTAGGCCAGGGTCCGATGGGGCTGTGGGCAGTAGGATGGGAAGTGAGGGAGGCGGGTGACCCTGTAGTGTCGGGCACTGGACTCTGAAGTGTAGCCAAATGGGGACAGCGTCCCTGTTCTCAAGGCTGGGGTCCCTGCCATTGTCTGTGTAGAGCTTGGTGATCCCAGGGGATCCCTGAGCTTGGCACAGCCTCAGACCCAGGGTTCCCCAATGGCCTATGTCAGCATGGTTTTCTCAGGACCTAGGGGGTAGAAGTGGGAGGCCCAAGGGCTAAGCCACAACCCTCAGCCCTGCTCTGCCAGGATCAGCCTAGTGACTTGAGAGTTCGGTTTCCACAGCTTCCTCCCTCCCTCCCTCCCTCCCCTCCTTCCTTCCTTCCTTCCTTCCTTCCTTCAAAACCATATAGACATTTTATTATGTATTTATTTATTATTTATTTTTATTTTCTGAGTGTGTGTTTTGCCTGCATGTAAGTGCACCCATGTATGCAATGCCTGTGGAGGCCAGAAGAGGGTGGTGGATCCCTTAGAATTGGAGTTATAGATGGTTGTTCGCCACCACGTGGGTGCTAGGAACCAAACCTGGTCCTCTGCAAGAGCAGCCGGTGCTCTTAACAGCTGAATAGCTGAGCCATCTCTCCAGTCTATCCCCCCTTCCTTCCTTTACTTATTTTGTGTGTGTATGCATGTGAACCACAGATCACACGTGGAGAACAGGATAACTTCTGGGAGTCAGCTCTCATTTTCCATCAGGTAGGCCCCGGAGATTGAACTCAGATCGTCAGGGTTGGTAACAAGCCTTTACCTGCTGAGCCATCTCCCAGTCCTCCGTCTTCCTTTTCCTTTTTAAAAATTTTTAAAATTTGTTTTTGTTTGTTTTTGCTTTTGAGACGGGGTCTCCCCGTAGCCCCAGTTCACCTGGAACTTGCCATGTGGACCGGGCTGACTTTGATTTTACAGAGATCCACCTGCTTCTGTCAGTCAATGAAGGAAGAACACACACAGACACACACACACACTCACGCACACCTACCCCTACACCTGCCTTAAAAGTTTTTTTTAAAGATTTATTTTTATTTATGTGTATGCCTGCATGCTTGTGTGAGGGAGCGTGCATGTGAGTATGGCCCAGGGAGGCCAGAAGAGGGTGTTGGCTCTCCTGGAGCTGAAGTTGTAGGAGATTGTGAGCCGCCCAGTGTGGGTGCTGGGAACTGAATTCCAGTACTTTGCAAGAGTAGCATGTGCTCTTAGCTACTAAGCCATCCTCCAGCCTTCCATCTTCTTTAAAGGTTTAGTCCTTCCTTGTTTATTTACCCCCGGGTTAATTTTTATGTCGTGTGACAGGCAGGGTAGGGTGGGTGGAGGACAAAGGACATTTTAGCTGCTCCAGTGAGCACCCAGTTCCACGTGTAGCAGCGCTGCTCACTCTGACAAGGCTGTGGGTAGCAGGAGGTTTTGGTTGAGTCTCCACTGGTGTGTTTACTAGCTGTGTGAACCTAGGTGGGTTATCAACATCTCTGAGCTTGTCTCCCTGTTTGTGAAGAAGAAACTCCTAACACAGCTGAATTTGATCCAGTTCAGGGTGAGGATGAGCTGAGGAGCATGGCTTGGTGTGGCCGGGTTGCAAGTTCCTACAAACTCAGAGGCTTAAAAGAACACGTCGTGGGATGTGGTGGCGCACATCTGTAACCCCAGCATTTGAGGGACCGAAGCAGATTGTTGTGAATTCGGGGCCAGCCAGGGCTACAGAATGAGACCCTTTCTCAGTGAGGGAGACAAAACAAACAATGAATAAAATAACAACAACACTACGGTGTGTGGAAGTCTCTGGCTTGGTTCACCTGGGGCTTGTGCTAGGCTACACCTTTACACCAGGCAGCCTGAGGGTGTTGGCAGGGTTGGGTCCTCACCTGGATGCTGGGAGTGGGAGGGAGCTGTTTCCTGGCAGAGGGTGGCGGGGCGACATCTTTGTTGCCGTGTGACTCTGGAGGCTCTCCTGGTGTGCCCCGCCACTCCCATCTTTTGTGTTTCTTCTCTCTGGGCCGAGCACAGAGGGTTCAGTTCCTGTCAGCTGTCTCAGTGTTAGCTGGTTTTCCTGGGGCCTCACCGAAGCCTCTGGGCTTAAGGTCCTTTTGAAGATCTTTACATCTGGGGATGGTATCGTGTGTGCCTTTAGAACTCTGCCACCCTGTGTGGCTGCCTCCCAGCTGCACAGTGACACGATTGCACAGTCCACTGGCACATAAGACACTGTGTGAAAGTGCACAGAAGAAAGGACGTGTGAGCACAACAGAGAAGAGCCATGGTGAGGGGTGGGGCCGGCCCTCACCTGGCCTGCCAGGTTGTCATCAGGAGGAGAGTGACATTTAAGCCAAGTCCTCAGGGATGGGAAGGTGAGGCTGTGCAGGTGTGATTGAGGGTGTGATCCAAAAGGTAAGAGCTACCTGTGCAAAGGCCCTGGGGCAGAAAAGGGGTCAAGTAGGGGAGGAATCCAGAGAAGTTCTGTGTGACTGGGAAGAGCGAGCTGCTGGGGGCGAAGGCTGGAAATCCAGCAGCGGGGGCCACACATGACCCACACACCCAGTGATGCAAGGGCATGGTGGCCCCTACCTTTGTCCCAAAAGAAATACATTAAATTCATAAACATGTCAGGGATACAAGGGCATGTGCAACCAGGGTGCAGGGGTAAACCCTGAGGTGGCCTCCAGGAACCCCCATCTTTGGGTAGCTTTCTCTTTCTTCCGGTGTGGGCAAGAGCTGTGATTTACTTCTAGCCAACAGAACATGTCAAAGAGGGAAGGATTTTGCAGATAAAGTTTCTTATCTGTTGAATTTAACTTAATCAAAAATGCCAGGCATGGTGGTGCATACTTTTAATCCCAGCACTCGGGAGGCAGAGGCAGGCAGATCTCTGTGAGTTCGAGGCCAGCCTGATCTCCATAGTAAGTTCCAAGACAGCTGGGGCTACGGGAAGACCCTGTCTCAAAAAGACCAAATAAAATAAAAAATAAAAATAAATAAAAATAAAAAGAGATTCTGGATAGGCCTGGTCAAATCAGGTAAGCGATTTTGAAGAGAGTCCAGAAACCAGATAATTAAAGTAATAGCAGCTCCCTCTCCCTCCTCCCTTTCCTCCTCCTCCTCCCCACATCACCCCTCTGCTGACTGAAGACACAAGCATCCACCAGTTCCACGACCACAAAGATTCTGCCACCGTCTAAGAAAGCGTGGGAAGGTGCAGGGAGCTAACTACACTGCCTTCAGCCAGAGCGGGCTCAAAGACGCAGAGCCCAGAGCCCACCAAGCTGTATCTGTGCTCCCAGTTTACAGGATAAGGAAATGGATAACAGGGCTTTGAGGCTACTGAGTTTCAGGCTTGTGTTGTTTGTGGAAGATGAATGCCCAGTTGAACTAAGAGCCCCTTAGGGCCATGGCTCTCTGGGTACCCACAGCCCTACACACAGAACTGGGCAAAGGCCTAAGACGAGTCCACCTGCATCCAGCCAGCTTCAAGTCGTCTTTACCTGCAGTGACTTTGTACATGAGGGAACAGTTGCTGACTTAAGAGTGGGAGGCATCAGTGGGAAACATCACAGCCTCCTGGTCCCCACTCCCCACTCCTGCCCTGCAGGGGACGCAGCAGTGCAGCCCAGCAGGCTTCCATCAGGCCAGCCTGGCTTGCCTCAGGATCCTGCTCAGCACTGCTCACCAGATAGGAGCCTGCTGGCTGTGGTAGACTGGTCACTAAGCAACAACCTGTGCTGGGCAATGAGGTTGCAGAGTGACCTCAGAGCCCTCCGCCATGGTGTTGACCTCTGGGCCTCGAAGGCTGCCTGTCCCCACAGTTCAGGAGGCCCTCCCAGGTTGTGCTGTGCTGCCCGCCCTGACACAAGCTCTTTCAGAAACCTGACCCCAGTGCTTAGAAGACAGAGGAACTTGGTTTGATGTCTAGAAATGGCTTTTTATCAGCGCACCCTCTGGGAGTCTGGGCCCAACCAATGAAATTGTGTCTGTTGACTCAAGGAGTCCAGGAAAGTGGGGCTGACGGTTAATTGAGATTTATGGCTTCCCTTGAGCTTGACCGCCTAGGAGCTCTGTAACAGTTGAGCTAAGTGGTGTTAAGTGGGAGGGGGATGCCTGGTACAGAAGGTGGCTGTCTCCCACCCCATCCCTCTGCCCCTCTTCTCTACCATCTTCACCCCGCCCCCCCCCCCGGCTCCCTGTGACCTGGGGGGTCGGGGAAACACCCTAGTGAGTGACTGCTCAAACTCAGGGACACAACTTGCTATGGGTGTGACCCCATGTGGTCCCCTCTGTTGGCTGGGCCCCAGGATGTGGGTAGGCAGGGGCTCCCTAGGCAGGGTGGGGCTCTGACTTTCCAGGCCTGCAGCCCTCCTGTCTGGGCTCCTCTGAGCCAGGGTTGGGAACCTGGGCAGTATTTGTGAGGGGAGGTAGGCTATCAGCAAGACACCCCGTTCAGCAGGTGCTCGACAAGTGTGCCTGGTTGTGCTTTGCTAAGGGAAGGATCTGCCCAGTGAACCCCCAGAAGTGGGGTCCCAGGCCCTGCTCAGGCCAAAGGAGGGGCTCTCCATCTACTGCCTAGGTGGGAGTGAGGTGCTGGTCTCCAGAAATGTGTAAACCCTGAGGGCCGGCCTCTGGTTTGCAGAAGGGAGGGGGTCTTCTAAAACAAGGCTGATCCAGATTACAGAGCTTCCAATTGCTGCTAGGTGGTCACCTTACCTTTGCCTGCTTCCTTACTCATTCTGAGGGTAAGTTAAAGCATAGATCGGCCTGGCGGCTGTTCCTGGGCTGTCTGCCAGCCCAGTCACAAGGGGAGCCGAGTGTACTGGTCCTTGGCATTTGTGGACAGGGGGCCTATGATTGGCATCATTAGAGAGACTCCAGGATGGAGGGCAGGGCGACCTCTTCCCTAGGCTGGCAGCATGCAAGGCCAGGCCTCTTGGAACCGGGATGAAGATGAAGGTGGGCCAGGGTGGAGGCAGAAGGCAGAAGGAAGGAAGGAGGGGATGAAGGGAGGAAGGGAGGGAAGGAGGGAGGGAGGAAGGACAGACTATCTGGCACTAGGAGGCAGGAGGATCCCAAGTTTGAGGCCAGCTTACCACATAGTGTTAAAAAAAAGTCATATGTACACCCTGACACATACACCGCGCACGTGCACAAATATATATATATATATATATATAATATATATTAAAAGAAGGGGGCCCAGGATGTGAGGAGAGGCTGGGTGCCTGCATCAGATTCGTGTGTGTGCGTGTGCGTGTGTGTGCGTCCCTGCTCAGCTCACACAATGCATGCAATTGCCTCCAAAGAAGCGGGATGTTCTTTAGAAAGAGGATGTGCTTTTGAATCTCAATCGGCTGTTTCAACAATGTCTGTTTAATTAGTGTGTTTTGAAGAGGAAATGAAGGAAAATTATAACTCATGGGAGAAAATGGCTGCTACGTGCTCAGCTCTTCTGTGGCTTCCCAAGGGGCCACCCTGGGTCCAGCCACCCAGTCCAGCAGAGAGAGGGAGTGGGTGGGTGCACACAGGGACCATTGGCAGGTGGGTGTGATGTCCCATCCTGGTGCAGGGCAGCAGGGTACAGGGCCACCCTTCTCTTGTGAAGGGTTGGAGGAAAGTGGTTCAGTAACAGAGAATAAGGATCGACCCAGGACCAGGTTTGAGTTCTAGTACTACCATGTCTGTGAGAGCTTGCCGAAGCTCCACTCCATTCTTCATTTAGAAAATGGTGGCAACAGTTATGAATCAAATGAAAAAGAAAGGTTTTGTAAAGTATCTTGACTATGGCTAGGTATGCCTCAAAGGATCCAGGAAAGACCCACATAAGAGCTGAGATCCGTCTGAGTCTGAGGTCCGGGTGCAAAAACCTTACCTGGGCTCCCTAGGAGTTCAGGAGGCCACCAACTCTCAAGGTTCTGTCTCTGGCCCCCCAAAGCACCCGCTCCCCTCATATGCCTGCTCTCCCTGGGCTGAGGCTCCCACAGACGCTCCAGTAAGGGAGGCTTGGATGGAGAACCTGTTCCCTACCCTGACCGCCCGACTGCTAGAGCCCTAGCCCCTTTGCACTCCTGTGCCCCTGCTGGAGGGTCCTCCACATGGCCAGCCAGGCCTTGCGGTGCCCAGATGTGGGCTCTGGCCAGGGCTGGAGCTGGAGAGCTTGGGCTCCTTCCAACACACTGCCCCTCGGCTGATTAAGGGAATGTGCTAAGAGCTTGAGGAGCTCAGTCTTGGGACAGGTGTGGGAGTCCCTAGTGTGTGTTGGGGAATTCGGATGTTCTCCATGCCTGGAAAAGCAGGTACAGGCATGATGCAGTTACCCGAGTCCATAGGAACCCCCTCTGGCGAGCTCTATTTAAAGAAATGGTGGTCGCCCCTTCCTGAAAATCCAGCGGCTGGGTTAGTGCCACGCCTCTGCTCTTGGGTTACAGGGAACTGTGGCCACCCTATTTGGAGCTAAGGAAACTGAGGCATGGCATGGGGGGAGGTAGGGGGATGACACCTTTGGTGATGGCAGGTTGGGTTCTGTCCTCAACCTCCAGGTACTGAAGCCCCTTCCTGGTACTGTGAGGAAAGCAGCGAGACTTGGAACCTCCTGCAGAACCATGGCCAGAGAGACCTGGGTGATCCAAGCTGCTCTCCCGGGGTGAGCTCGCCTTTGCTGGGCCCTTCATCGTGCCCGTCCCCCCATCCTGCCCACTCCCACCCCAACGCCAACTCTGCCAAGTGCTGTGTGCCCACAGGGTTCGTGCAGCTGCCTCTGCGGCGGCTGGCTTCCCGCGTCCCATTGTTGGGTGCCTGGGAGCCTTCCAGTCCCTCACGGCATGAACGGGGTTGCTGTAACCATCTTGGCATGAGTCTCCTCTTGCCCCTCCCGAATGCGTTCCTTCCCTCTTGTGAGGCTTTGGGCCCTTTCCCTGACACGTTCGTTCCCGAACGCAGCCAGGAGCTGGCAGGACACCTCCAGAGAGGCGCTGGCAGCCACCCAGAGTGCCAGCTTCAGCCTCTTGTTGTGGTGATGTGATGAGTCTGTCCAGATGAGGAGCTCCCACCCTCTCATCCACTGCACGGGGTCCTGCTCTGTGCCTCCCTCCCCTGCTTCTTCACTGTGAGGATGAGCCCCTTTTTTGTAGAGATGAGGGAGTCTAGGCCCAAAGATGTTCAGCAATGGCCTTGAGGTGGCAGGAGGGGATTTAACCAAGGGCAGGCTGACTGGAGGCAGGGCTTGGTACCAAGCCCATCCCCCCGGTCCTTCTGCACACACACAGTTCCTGTGTAACTGCCCCTCCCCCACCCCCGTGTACACTGTCTCCTTGCAACTCTGCTCAGGAAGGGTGTCCCTCAGGAAGCAGACACCTCCCCCCTTAAGTTCCTCCCTAGGGTTGAGAGCCCTCATAGAGTTAAGCCCTGGGCTTCTGGGACATCCTGTGGGTCTGGGCCATCCTGCCAGCTCCAGGATGGTCTTTTCAGGTGAGGAACTGAAGATCCCCAAGGCAGGCCACACCTGGAGGCCACTGGTCACCTTTCAGCACCTTTACCCTGCAGACTTCGGCTAGACTTTGTTGAATGATGAGTGGATAGATGGATGGCCAGATGTGGGGTGGCCAGATGCAGAGGCAGGAAAACAGATGGATGGCTGACTAGAGCATGACAGGATGCATCACAGAAACTTCAGAAAGCTTCAGACACCCCAAGAGAGAGACATGTTGGGAGGCAGAATCACAGTCCAACATGAGAATCCAATCTTGCTGAAAGGCTTTCTTGCACCTGTGGCAGACATGAATAATCAATGCTGTTGGATCAGGGCTACTCTCCCACTGAGCCTGGCTCTCAGCCCTCCCAATGAGCCAAGAGCAATGGATTGCAGATGGCTAAGGAGACCTATCTCCAGCTGTGACTTACCATTGGAGACCTCAATCTCCCTTCTCTTCCTCTGGAGACCCCCTCTCCACATCTGCCTGCTTCAGGACAAGCATCAAGGAACCAGGGGTCATTGCTGCACCTCGGAATGGCTTCAAGCACGTACAGGGTTCCAGCTCCACCATAACCCCATGCTGTGGCTCCGTGCACCAGAGGGGGCTACTCAAATCCCCCTGGGTTGTGCTTACAGGCCTGGATGGGCCTGGAACTGCATTTTTGCCAGCAGGCTCTGGGGTATGGCCCTAGGTAATCTCATCTATATGGCTGGCTGGGTGCTGTTCTCTGTCCTCAGGAGGTATACAGCTCCTGGCAGAGTGAGCTGATCAGAAGTGAAGGTCAGAAGCCTCCTGACCCTCTCCCTCTGTATCCCTATGCCCCTCCAGCCTGGGGTTGGTGTCCCCATCTGAGGGCCACGCTGACTTGTTCTCAGATGTTCCTGGGGAGAGACCATCACAACCCACTCCAGGCAGCCACCTGCCCAGTGTTCACTGGTTGGACCTCAGCAGCCCCTTAAGGGAGCCCCATCGTCCTGAGGCTCCTCCTGGAGCCCATCCTTCCAGATGGCCTGTGTGTGTGTGTGTGTGTGTGTGTGTGGTGTGTGTGCGTGTGTGTGTGTGTGTGCGTGTGTGTGCGTGTGTGTGCGTGTGTGTGTGCGTGTGTGTGCGTGTGTGTTTGTGTGCGTGTGTGTGCGTGCGTGCGTGTGTGTGTGTGCGTGCGTGCGTGTGTGCGTGCGTGTGTGTGTGCGTGTGTGTGTGTGCGTGTGTGTGCCTTGTTTTTGAGGCAGAGTGTCTCACTGGGAACTGGGGCTTACTGATTAGGCCGAATTACTGGCTGGTGAACCCCAGGGATCTGTCTCTGTCTCCACAGCACTGAGGTTACAAGCGCATGCCACCACACCGAGGGCGTGTGTGTGTGTGTGCGCGTGTGTGTGTGCGTGTGTGTGTGTGCGTGTGTGTGTGCGTGTGTATGTGTGCATGTGTGTGCGCGTGTGTGTGCGTGTGTGTGTGCGTGTGTGTGTGTGCGTGTGTGTGTGCGTGTGTGTGCGTGTGTGCGTGTGCGTGCGTGTATGTGTGTACTTGTATGTGTGCTTGTGTATGTATGTTTATGTAAATGTGTGTGTGGTTGTATGTAGATGTGTGTTTGTATTTGTGTGTCCAGTCTCTCTTTTCCCTAGCCCAGGTGAGATGCTTCTAGATTCCCAGATTAACCCTAGTTAAAAAAAACTGTTGAGAACACCCCTAACTGTCCACACTTTGTGCCTTTCATCCATCTGTGGTGACTAAGGGGTCAACTTGACACACCTGGGTAGAAGGGCCCTCAGTTGGGGAATTTCCTCCATCAGACTGGCCTGTGGACATGTCTATGGGGGCATTTTCTTGATTGCTAATTGCTGTAGGAGGGCCCAGGCCACTGTGGGCAGTGCCATTACTAGGCAGGTGGTCCTGGGTTGTGTAAGAAAATGAGCCTGGAAGCAAGCCAGAGAGCAGCGCTCCTCCTCAATTTTGGCTTCAAACTCCAACTTTGAGCTCCTGCCTTGGCCTCCCTCGATGATGGACGGTGACCTGTAAGACAAATCCTTTCCTTCCCCAAGTTGGGCTTGGTCAGTGTCTTTTCACAACAACAGAGACGCAAACTAAAACACTATTGTGTAAAAAATGCCACATTTGGGGCTGTGGGTGTAGCTCAGTGGGTAGCGTGTTTGCGTGGTATGCACAAAGCTCTCCGTTCCTTTCCCTCACCAAATAAACTGGGTGTGATCTCAGAACTGGGGAGCTGGAGCCAGGAGGATTGGGAGTTCAAGATCATCTTTGAATTCATAGTGAGTTCAAAGACAGCCTGGGCTAGACCCTATCTGGAAAACAAGGTCATACTGGTAAAGGAAAATTATGTGTGCTTGTTTGTGTGATCTCATGACCCCAGACACAGATTTTTCCCCAAATTTCTTCAGATGTGTGACTCAGCCCCTCCCCTGCATCCATGACCCATCAGAAGTAGCAGCCACGGATCCTATGCTGGGACTTGACCTGGCTCAGGCAGAAGGCCCCTGAGTTATGGTGACCCCTTGGGGGTCCAGCGCCTGTCTCTGTGGCTGGTGCACCCGTGTCTGAGTTCAAGCTCTAACCCCTCAGAACTGTGAGACTTCAGATCCTTCACTACCTCTCCAGCTCTCCTTCCCTGTGGACAATTCTGCCTGCTCACCAGCGTCTAGTAGTTTGGGGAGAGTCGTGTGGAAGAAGGTCAAACAGGAGGTGCCGAACAAGCCTTTCATCAGCATGGTTTGTGCCTTGTGGTACGGGACAGCTGTGGTCCTGAGAGGCAGGCTTGAGCCAGAACCAGGCCATGCCTGTGCGGTGCTGGGTCCAGGATGGGCACCAGGAGCTGCTCTCTGGTGGTCCCCTCTGCCTACAGTTCCTGCCCTCCACATGTGGGTGCAAGGGCAGGCACAGACCTGTCCACAGGGGCACTCTGTGCCCAGAGCTACCCCTGGTTGGGCCCACCACCCCCATGGCTGCCCAGTCACCACCTCTGCCTGCCAAGCCGGCCACACACAGCCTGTGCCTTCCATCCCTGAAAGTCAACAGACCCATTTTAGCAAACGTGGAAGCCACAGAAACAGAAAGGTGTAAACAAGCCGCCCTCCCCAGCTTCCAGATCATTCTTTCCCACCACTGCTGCTCGCCATCAGCGGAAGCACCAGCCAAGCTGGCTCTGCACCAGGCACCCCAGGGTCTCTGTCCTCAAACAGCCTACGAGGACGACACTTCACAGACAAGGAAACCGAGGCCCAGGGAGGTAGCCCAAGTGGTCCAGGGGTGCAGACAGTGAACCATGACCCCCGATCCCAACTATCCAGGCAGATGGGAGGAGGAGACCCAAGTGCAGGACTAGTGAGCGTGTGACTAACACAGAGGACTCAGCCTCCCTGCCGGTGTCTCAGTGCGAGGACACTGCAGAGTCCCTTGTGCATGTGTCCTGGGGTGGCCAGTGACACCAGGCAGAAGTCCAGGTATATGAGGCAAGGAATAACACAGTGTGGTTTGGGTCACATTTTGGACACTTACAAAAGTAAGGTGACCAGCAAGCCTTCCTCCAGGGTCCTTGTTGGGAATCCATCAGTGAATGCTGACAGGAGTCCAGGTGAGGCCTTCTGTGGTGGCGCCTTACTGGGCAGAGGACTCAGGCTAAACACAGTCCCTGGAGCCAGCATCCCCCCTTGCCACCCCCCCCCAATATGTTCCTTCCCCGTGTCAACACTCCGGCAGCACGAAGGCAGGGGCTCCCACATACTTTACCCCCAAGTAGCAGCAGGGCAGGCTTGCAACCCATCCACACCATCTGACCGCACCTTGCCACTGTGCCCTTGGCCGTCCGCTCCCCTTCTCTCCCCTCCCTCAGGCCTGCCTTCCCAGCTCCATTAGCTGGACACGGATGTCTTGCAGGTAACCATTCCTCAGAAAAACGACTTCACTATCAGCTTCAGGGCTGGCACTGGGGGAGGGCTATGCATGGCCTGGAGGGGCAGGCGGGTGGACATCACCTCCAGGGCCTTCTCCAGCCGCTGGGCCCGGGGTGGCAGGCGAGGACCCCCACCTGGAAGGCCTGACGGAGATAGATCTGTAGGAGTCGGGGGCTGAAGGGAAATATTACATTATGATAACAAATCACTCAGCTGATTGGAATTTAATTATGTCTCTTTTATCTTGGTGACAGTTTTGCACCTGGGATCGAG